ACATGCTACACAGAGAATTCTCTCGTTGGAAGAATAGATGTAGAATAATTGGTTGTAAATGTGCAGATAAGATTTTTTTATGAACATGTACTGCTGTTGACAGAGTTTGCAATAATGAGAAAAAAATCTTGTTGATCATATAAAATATTAACAATATATTACGTTTGTTATAGTCAGTGCTAGGGGTAAATTTGGATGAAATAGTTGCTCCTGAGTCATTGATACACCAGAATTATAGTTTACTCAACTTACCCTTGTTTGCTTCTGTACCATGCATTAATAATCAAAAGCAAATGTCAGCTTTATATCCATTTTCCTTTCAGAGAGAAAAATTGAAAAGGATGTTTCATGCACATTGATTTAATTATTGCTAACCTGATGAATACAGGTTACTTATTTTTTAAATGTGACCATTTGTTGATATTGCATTGCCCCATTTGAGTTGAGGTGCCGTGAAAGACTACAACATACATACATACATTCATTCTTAAATTGCATTGCTCTACATGGAATTCCTGTCAAAGATTCACACACAAACCGTGCACAGTGGGTGCAAAATTCGTTGTTTTTACTCATCTGTAAGCAAATTATTCCATTGGACATTTACAAATCCATTATTATTCAAGTTGATCATTGTATTCAATATTTAATTACATAAATGTATGGAAGATTTGTACTATGGAAATATGGATTTTTCTACTCTAATCTGTTTTTGAGGTTTGACTTTGATTTAGTAACTGCTACACAATAACTGGTCCATTACCAAGAAAATTATGAAATATTTTGTATCAAGATTTATTAGTGTTTAATTTGTAATTTAGACAGCAGATAAAGACTACTTTGATTAGTGTTATGTTGAAATTTGTCTTCTCCTTAATTTTGTAAACTTTTGAAGAGAGGTTAGTTTCCAGAAATATTTACGAGTTCAGCATAGACCATGTAATGTACATTTGTTATGTTTTGCTTGCGTTTTGTTCGACTGTCTTATATGTTTAGTTTATTTAAGTGTAAAGCACTGACTAACCCAGTTCTCTAGTTTAAAAACATATTTTCGTTTTTCATTTTAAAGACTGATAAATCCTGACGCTGATCAGAATAATGACAATCACAGTACTAACAATACTGCACTGCCCTTGAAGGACATGGGTAAATAGATTACCTTAATCGAAAATCACTACATGTAGCTAACGTATATACATGACGGGGAGTTAACTGGAAATTATTGCTTCTTTAAATTTTCATCATCATAAGTCGTCTAACCATCTTGCGATCCCTTACTACTTTGTAAGAAAATTGTGAGAATATTAACAAGATTGAAATTATTTTTTTTTTTCATGATGTAGTTTTGGGTAAGATTTCTTTCAGCCATACAAATTCCATTTCGTAAGTGAGAGTTGCTTCATATATTTTATAATTTACCTTTAATGTGTTGGGGAGAGTTTTGTGTTGTATGAATGAAATCACTTATGTTAATATATTAAACAAATCATGTCAGCGTGTAACCATATCTGTTTCTTAGGTACTTTGCCTCTCAGATTTCCTATAGTATACCATATATCATCATTTCTATATACTGTTGGACGATATTTCGATGGGGCTATTTTTTATTTGCTTAGTCAAATAAATATATTAGTCTTTTAAGAGTTGCATGGGAGAACTACTTCCGTGGTTTCCATATTTTTCAGAAATGTACTATTTAACGAATCCAAGTTCATGTCAATAAACATTTTCCTATTAAATTTTTTGCTCTGGCTATTGATTTCTGCGGTTTGTTGTATGTTTGAAGACACCCCCCGTCCTATCAATCCTCTTTGTGTGTGCTAGGATATTTTTTTCTCCATAAAAATAGTCACATATTTGCTCCAATACTGCGGTTCATACACAGTTGAAGAGCAAATATTGTTAATTCTGAAATCATGTTTCCTTTTGAATATACTCCCCAGTTCTACTGCTGGTTGAGAGATAAACATTTTTAAGCCTCTATTGCAAATACAATACATTTTGTTTTGCTTCTGTCCATCTGCGCATTCACGGCAGCCCTGATTATGAAGAAAATGGTTAACATGGCACATGATAGGTCCGTTGTTATGCACGTGCTAAAGACCCGATTACGACTTTGTGTCTTTCAGACAACATATGCATTGTTTATCTCATTTACTTCATAGTTATTGGGTAAGGGGTTTCAGGGAAAACCTTGGCATGATTATTCCAAAACCGCTTGACCTTGGGCAAACAAAATTCATGGTTTATTTATACGCTAAGTTAGCAGACTAGGTCATATTTTCAATTAGGATATCAAAATGTCTTCCACAAAATAAGACTTTTCAAAAATCATTATTCTTTGCTTGGTTGTTTTTAATGATTACTTATGCACAGAACCTTTAACCTGTATCAAGAATTAATATATCATACAATCTTAAATATTTATTAAAGCAATCTTCAATATTTGAAGATTTCCTGAAACTATTACAAATTATCAAATTTTTTTCGAGATTAAAAACGATTTTAGTAACATTTCGTCTAGTTCTTTTGATGCAGTTTTTTCTAAAATACTAGTAAGATCTTAAACCAGTGTAAAGAATTTGTAATGATGTAAGAGAGGGACTGTCGCGTCAACAAAATCAATGACCAGAAATCAAATGTGAAGAATGTTCTGACGTTGAAGCTAATTATGCGTTTTCAATAGTTTTCATCCGTCTTTTTAGTTTGCAGTTAAATTTGGAAAATGATCAATTTTAGATTGAGTTATTGCATTTTTAAAATATATTTCACTGTGTCTGTAATTTCAGTTTGCCAAACTTTTTGTGACAAAAATTGCGAACTGTAATTATTTTCACTTCAGAGTTAGACCTGTCAGGTTGCAGCATCTGTTGTTTACCCTTTTGCATTTAGTTGAGCATGTCGATTTTAGACTGCATGACAAAGTGCAGTCCAAAGTTGTACATCATTGTCTGGATTTATGCTTTGTTTGTTATTTTATTTATATATTTTTTTAAAAAATCATCATTTGCTATGGATAATTGCATTTTGGAGTTGATCTTGTCCAAGATCAAGTTCATTGTCTACCCGACTCGAATTACTGATGTTGGCTTTGTAAACAACTTGATTATCTCAATTCTTGTGTAGAACATTGGAAAGTCCCCAAGAAATGCCGAGTCTACCTGTTCTTTTCTACATTTAATAGTATAATTTTAGAAGCAGACCTTGTAATAATAAGTGAGATTTTATCTTGTAAACATATGGAACTTTGTAGAATGAAATTTTCCATTAGGTAAGAGTTCTTTTTTTATTTTTTTAAATAGGAAATGTTATTTATGACTTGAGATGAAGAAGAAAATGTTATTATTTTTCTTCCCTAAAATATGTTTATATTCATACTGAGCAGAATCAGTTGTATTATTTTTATTTCCAGCATTTTATTTGGGCTGGACTTTATTTTTTCAAGTTATTTAATACAGGCAGGTGTTCTTTGGAAATACGAAGTGCTAAAAAATAGTGTACAGTTTGAGTGAGATATTATCTGTAGAGTATTTTTTCATTTATTTAATTAACCGGTTATTCATCAAATCAATATGGACACCACGCACTAAACCAGAATTAGAAGCAATATAAATTCCATGATCAAATCAAAGAAACGAAAACGATAGCGAATTGAGTGAGTGAGAGAGAGAGAGAGAGAGAGAGAGAGAGAGAGAGAGAGAGAGAGAGAGAGAGAGAGAGAGAGAGAGAGAGAGAGAGAGAGAGAGAGAGAGAGAGAGTTGTTTCAGTTCAATAAAAATAGATTCCAACTCGGATGACTATATCTCACTATTTCATATATGCTACTTGAAATTAATAGAGCAGGAAAAAAAAAACAATTCACACGCCATTATGCAATACCAATGTGTAAAATTTTGTTGAAAATGAATTTCTTTCTCCAAATATTGGCCCATTGTTCTTCACTAAAAAAATACCCGGATTATGATTTGTCTATATGAAACTACCGTTTCCTTGTTGTCATATAAAAACACGCTTCCATCGAAATCAAACAAACGAATGGTATGCTAGTGAAATCGCTGAGGCGCAACGTAAAATTATTATTATAAATGTGAAGAATTTAACAATTATCGTTTGTGTCAGAGAAGAGCCGAATCAGTCATTTGAAATCATCAAAGAAGCCATCTTCTTTCTGATAACAGTTCCATCTGGAATCATTTGTGAGGACTAATTTTTACGAACCAGTACTAAGTCCATTTACGGTAACTGACACCTTTTACACCAATAATGACGATAGTTGGACGATATTCCAAACCAACTAAACGTGTTGCTTACTTCTTCCCAAATAGTTTATAGGTCAAATCAAACAGCATAGCATACATAAACATGCTGCCTCTGTAAGTAAATAAATAAATAAATAAATAAATATATATATATATATATATATATATATATATATATATATATATATATATATATATATATATATATATATATATATATATATAAAATCACTAAAATAGACACTAACAAATCAGCGGATCTTGATGGAGTTCACCCCAAATTCAGAAAATGTCAACTGTTGTTTCCAGTCATTGAAAGAAGTAATTAACTGTAGTATCACTTTTTAAATTTCCAGAGTCATTAAAATTAGCTAAATTAAAGTGATGTCTAGCACTGAGGCGTGATGCCACAGACATGTAGCATGATGTCCCACCCAGCTATATTCGTGAACAAAATAAGAAGGGAATAGCTCATACAACTTACGATCGATAATTGTGCCATATATTCTTTAAAAAAAATTAACGAAAAAAAAAAACAGCGAGCATCTTTTGGTATATCTTAAGAAATTCCAACTCCTTCAATAATCACAAACAGGTTTTCCGATATTCACACACACACACACACACACACACACACACACACACATACACAAACACGACTGCTGACATGCTGAAATGTACTTTTATACACGTATATTTTGTTCATATTTATCTACCTGTTAACAATGTTGGTTAAAGAGCTCTACAGTGGCATAGTGGTTAGAGCGTCCGCCTCGGATGCGGGAGGTTGTAGTTCGATCCCCGGTCGAGTTATACCAAAGACTTACAAAAATGGTACTAACAGCTGCCTCGCTTGGCGCTCAGCATTAAGAGGTTAGTGTTAGGACTGGTTGGCCAGGTGTCAGGATAATGTTGCTGGGTGGGACATCATGCTACATGTCTGTGGCATCATGCCTCAGTACTAGACATCACTATAAACTGCCACACTGCAGACATCGTAGCGATATGACTGAAAAATTGTTAAAGCTACGTTAAAAATCATAATTATATCACATCACGTTGGTTAAAGATATTAATCCGTTTAAATGTGTGAGAGTGCGTGTGCACACGCGGGTGTCTTGTAAAAAATAGGAAATGGTTGTGTTATCCTCTCTATATATAGTAGCCATCAATATCATCATTAGAAATGTATTGCAGTCACACAATGTGAGGCTGAGGGTGAATGATACAGTTGTGTGAGCAGAGGCGTGGTGAGGGTGTGACAAGACATCGCACGTGATGTGGGTGCCGCTTGAAATTGGAGAGGGCGCAAAATCGTTTAGTGGGACATTTTTTATGCTTTCCAAGTTTTGATTGAGGCTCAGTTTTAGTTCTTGCCGTGGGCATTTTTTTCTTCTTCAAGATTTACCTCTGATTGACTGTGATGACCACTCGGTCCCTTGCAATTTAGTGGTCAGTAGTTATTTATATCTTTAAAGAAAGTGCTTCCCTTCCTGACATTTACAGTTTAAAAGAATGCATTTATCACAAGTAATTGCTAAAATATAAAACTGATTCCGGAGATGAAATATCAGGTTACCCCTGATACTTCATATCGGAGCATACGTGAATAAACATTGGATCTTTGCTATTATTAGTGCAAATAAATTGCATGACGGTTTCGTGATCCACTTTATCCCAGTACCAAAAGACGGATGAGTTCTGACTATGATAGTCACAATATGCACAATATCGAGTCATGTTTTGCTGGTGTCTGTAATAATTTTGTCTGGAGAAGTCATTGTGCGTGATATGCCCATGGTTGTTTTGCCTGTGACGAGAATTTGGACGTGATTAGTGCATGTATGGCGAGTACAGGCAGCGATGGAAGCTGGTGTTTTGCGTGTGCGAGATATATGATACATGATGTCAATGTTTCGAAGTAGAATTGAAGCACCCTCATTTCGCGCGTTCTCTCTCTCTCTCTCTCTCTCTCTCTCTCTCTCTCTCTCTCTCTCTCTCTCTCTCTCTCTCTCTCTCTCTCTCTCTCTCTCTCTCTCTTTTACATTTCTTCTTCTCCCAGTATGAACAAATTATAATTATGAATGTAGTTTATACCTAATTCTCGAAGTACCTTATTCTAGAGACCACAGTGACTGGCCCTCTTGGAATAAAACTTGAGACCATTACTGTGTAACTTTCTGAAACGACATAATGACTAATTTGCTTTGGTTTCGGCCTAAATAAATACAAGAAGCATGACGGTTATAGGATGAGAATGTCAAGGTCAGGGTCACTCTAACCGACAATAAGATAAAAAGGCAGGCGAATTATGTACCATGTACAAACTTATATCAGATCTTCCTCCAAATGTTTTGCCACTGCAGAACGCGAGGAACATGTTTATAGGTATAGTGATAGTGATAAAATAGGTTAGGTGAAAACGCACACATTCATGGATATTACTTTTGTTCTGCGATGTATGTGTGTGTGTGTTTGTGTGTGTCAAAATAGAAGTTTGACAAATATAATTACATTCTCTTTAATTAGAGTACAATCCTGCTGCTAATTGCCGTTATTATTATTATTATTATTATTATTATTATTATTATTATTATTATTATTATTATTATTATTATTATTATTATTATTATTGACATAATCATCATCATCATTTGAATGAAGAGTATATTATAAGTTATATTATTATAGGGAAATAACTAAGGGGTGTAAAGTAGCTAAAGTTTTTGTTCGTAATCCCCAAAATAATTATTATCTTGTCATCTAGAAACCATGTTGGAGATAAATCTTCCATAATCAGTCAGTTTGATGTACTGAATCTTATTATGTCAGCCCCACTCAAACCTCGGTAGTTTGATTGGCTTTTGTTTACAGTAGTTTAATTTCTTTCTTTTTGCTTGTGGTCCATGCATTTCATTTAATTTTTAAAATGTCAGGAGAAAAAGAAACTTTACTTTTCAATTTGACCATCGGTTGTTTTATAGCTATATGAAAAAAATCAGTCTAATTCCTATAATACAAACAAAGAATATAGTGTATTGCTGACCAATTCGGAAATATGCACAGAGGCTATTATTATACATTCGTGTTATCATTCACAAAATTATTTTGTACGATGCACAAAATACTAATTGTTATGTATATTTAATCTATATCATTTGGTGACTTAATGATTTTATATTATGCACATTGGTAGTTTGTACTTTACCCTCTAAATCAAGTTAATGGAGTAAGTAACCAGTGGCTTTAGTTGGTAAAGGGCATAATACATAGCTAATATTTTTCGAAACATATAGATTAACTATTCAGATAAACATCAATGACGGTACACGTTTTAACTACTCTCGAGTTTAGGAGATTAAGTTTTTCACTTGGAAATTCCTTAAATTCTTGACAACTATGAATATTTTAGGAAGGAAACTGACCTACAGCCTGTATATATATATATATATATATATATATATATATATATATATATATATATATATATATATATATATATATATATATATATATATATATATATCTATCGAGAGAGAGAGAGAGAGAGAGAGAGAGAGAGAGAGAGAGAGAGAGAGAGAGAGAGAGAGAGAGAGAGAGAGAGAGAGAGAGAGAGAGAGAGATTATAACTAATTCTAGATGCTAGGAGTGCTTAGGTTACTCATTGAAGGTACAAATGGGTACTAATATTTCATCAACCAATTCGAAAAACTTGATTTTATAATGCATACTAATTTTGCACCAAAACTCATCTTCACCAAACATTCAATAAATTTTGAATGATATATTGATTCAGACGCCTTGGCAAAAATCGATGCAAATACCTTAAGATCTGCCAGCAGATTTACTTATTGTTTATGTACCTAAGTATGAAGGAAGGCTGTCTATGGGAGCATACTGCTTCTGGAAACCAAGCGGAGCTGCATTGATTATTTCCCTTAGTATCTTGGATGTTGTGAATCTTGCTTTTTTTCTTCTTTTCTTTCAAGATGCAGGTGAACACATTGTGAGCAGAAAGTAAACTAAAGCATAAAACTAAGGTTTATTTTGATCATTAACCATGTCGTTTCGCTATACAATATTAAATGAGCATGGCAGGAACTATATATTGTAATTAAACTACTTGGAGTACCAAGATTAGATAAATAGTTGTTCTATAGAAATCCTTTGGAACCGCGTCTTCGTGACCCCATGACAATACACTTTTATGCCTAACTTGTCTAGTTAGGGTGCATCAGTGCTGGATTACCCAATAGGCAGAGTAGGCACCGCTCTATGGGCTACACGTCTTTAAAGGGTCCCGAGAGAGAGCGGATTAAAATAATATTGAATTGATTTGGTCTTGACCTATTAGGAGATAATTTACGAGGGGGACCCTGAGATTTCTACAGTCTGCATACAAACTGGCGTGCATACAAAAACTGATTCAGACAGCGTATATACAAATACGAGTCGGTGCAAGACCGTGTATGCAATTTTAACGCATGCAAATCAGTCATCTATTTCGGTTCTGCCTCGAACTTCACTGTTCCGGGGTCGTGGCAATTGTTCCGTTTCAGCTAACATGGTATCGAATTCCGATGTGATAATGATTAGACCTTCGATGGCCACTGATCGTAGCTTACTAATTGTATTAAGAGTATTTTGGGCCTACGCGAGATTTTCCGAATAAACACTTAATCTGTAATCATCACGGGGATTGAAAATATTCCTTTTCTCGTTTGCTTTTGCAACACCACTTACTTCGGCAACTTTAATGTTAGCGAGGTATTTTCTCCTTTGGCCGGATTCAGCTATCGGGTTCAGTTAGGGTTAAATGCACAGGGGATTTTAAATCAGGTTTATGAACTAAATTTTCAATGTAACCACACTGTCGTGTCTGATTACACTTTTAAATTTTTTGAAGTTGGTTTTCATCTTAGATCATCCATACATTGTGATAGGACATTATTTTCAATTGTGCTCTTCAATTACGAATTTTCCACTGACAAGTCAATGACATGATGCGTCCGAAAATTTCACAGGAATGCATCTGTAATTATCGCTCGGGACAGCAGTAGCAAGTGCTTTGAAGTACATGCAAACTAAGGGCTTCCAAACCTGATCCAGGTGTTCAAACGGAAAGTTATCAATAGATTCCAATGTAGTGAAGTCTTAGTGAGAAATCCGCAAATCAATGTCAACGTTTTTATTCCGTTGTACATATGACTATAGCTGGTGATATGTACGCGCGACGTGATTGATTTTGGGGTCGAAGAAAATGTTTTCTGATGGTGCATCATCGCCGCTTTAATGAAGAGAAATTGCAGACACTTTCTAACTGTTTAAATATATTCATACTCCTCGCCTGTCCACCGTTCAACTGAGTCAGATCTAGAAACCAACAAGAAACACATAATTTAGTGCGCTGCCATCTTGTTTGGTACTTATCCGCCTTGAAAAGGTTGGACTGTGCTTTGCATTGAGCTTGAGTTGAGTGCTAGACAGAGTGGACATGCTTACGGACCTCATAAAACAACATACACGATGCTGTGAGTTTATAACATGCATCTGCAATGTCATTTTCAACAACTCAATTTTGTTTTCATTGACACCAGCACCAAGCCAAACTGTATCGTTATGGTTGTCCTTTTGGGTTAACAAGAATGTGTTTGGCTCCGAAAATAGCATTGCAGACATATCCTCAAAACCAGATGGGAGTGTAATTACCTTTTGTTGCATCAATGAAACCTTTGTTTGTCGAGTTAGTAATTGTCGTTGTCGAACTTGAGTTGATTGAAGCGCACACAATCCATTATTATTCATCGGAT